TGAGACCTTGTCTCAAAATTAAAATACAAAGGGCTGAGGATGTTGCTCGGTGGTAAAGCATTTGCTGAACATGCACAAGGCCCTGGGTTCCACCCCAAGCACTGCAGAAAAAGAAAAGACTGAAATAAGGAAGAAAGGGAAGTAGAAGAAACACTTTTAGTTTTATGGATATTGAGCTTCCCTTCTAGGACTTTACCAATACCCTGCTCTGAAAAAGCAGTTTGAAAGGGCATAATGTGAACAGGAAGAGGCAGATCAGTGAGCTGTTATAGGTTGCTTCTGAAGTCATAACAAGGCCTATTGGTTTTCCTTGCAGCTGATCAGCGGTGAGTACATTGGAGCCCTGGCCATGAGTGAGCCCAATGCTGGCTCTGATGTTGTCTCCATGAAGCTAAAGGCAGAAAAGAAAGGTGAGATTATTCTCAATTATGGAGCTTAAATGCGCAGAGGGACAAACCTTACCAGAATGAGGGAGCAAGAGCTGGGAGTGGCTCCAGAATTATTTTGCAACTGCTCATTAGTTCTATGGACTGACAAGATAAGAAATGCCAAGCCAGCCTAAGCAAGAAGGTAATATCCTACCCTTAGGAGATTACTACATCCTGAATGGCAACAAGTTCTGGATCACCAATGGCCCCGATGCTGATGTTCTCATTGTCTACGCCAAGACAGATCTAACTGCTGTGCCAGCCTCTCGGGGCATCACAGCCTTCATTGTGGAGAAGGTGAGGGTGGTGAGTGCGTAGTTGGGGAGGCTTTAGTCTCTCGACAGTGGTGCCAGAGGCTGCTTCCTTCAGCTGATCATGTATGCTCTGCTTCCAGGGGTGGGGGGAGACAGAGAGGAAACTGAAGGAGACTGACAGGAGGGTGGCCAAAAAGTCGAGTCCAGGGAGGATGGGGCAAGTCTGAAAACAGTGAAGCCATGCACAGAGCCTGACCATACAAAGAGGTTCAGGAAGAGGAAGACTGAAAGGAGGCCACTAGATCTGACAGTCAGGATGTCCTTGGTGAGCTGGGCAAGAACAGTAGGGGAGGCTGAGGAATAGCTGGGAATACAAGTGGAGAAGATTTCACCTCCACAGTCTTGACACAGAAGCAAAATGGAGTTAGATCAGGAGCATGAATTAAAACTTCGGTGTTTGGCTTTGGTTTTAAAAATGAGGGTCTGGGGCTGGGGTTGTCGCTCAGTGGTAGAGGGCTTGCCTAGCATGTGTGAGGCTCTGGGTTCAATTCTCAGCATACAAAATAACTAAATAAAATAAAGATCCATCAACAACTAAAAACAAAGAACAACAACAAAAAAAAGGGATGACTAGTATGTAGCTCAAAGTGGGAAGATTGACCAAAATTTTTAGTAAGGAAAAGGGACAATTGGAGAGGCAGAAATTGAAGTGTGGGGTAAGTGAGCAAAACACAATGGCTTGTTGGGTAGAAGGAAGGATGGGTTACAGGTGATGAGGGATGAACCATCTGCATGATAACTGTAGGAAGCCAGGTGCATGTGGGGCACCTGTAAGGGCTGGAGATCACAGCTGTGGGGGAGATGGTAGAAAATTTAACAAATGAGACTTGCAAACGTTTACAGTAGCCCTCATAGGGAAAGAGGGAAAGTAGCTATTAGAATTAGAGCGAATAGGGCCTGGCAAAGATTGGAAACCTCCAGGTTGTAAAATACCCTCTCATGAGCCAGGAGAGGAGTGGAGGAGGCTGACACATGCTTCCTTTCTAGGACTTTACCAATACTGGGCACTTGCCAGTACCTACACAGCTGAGTAGTTGAGATCAAAGCACACAGCTGAGTGCATTCATCCCAGGTGGAACTCCCTTAGGGCAAAATAGCAAAAGAACAAAGGAATTGAGTGAGCTATTGAGAGTACCTTGGGGAAGGGACCACAGCCAGAGAGAGTCCGGAGGGTTCAGGACTGAACATTTCACCAGGAAAGAACTTCTCCCATGAGAACATAGCTGGCAACAGTAGAGACTGGGAACAGGGTAGGGTGTCAGGATGTAACAGTCGAACATGAGTGGGGTGCTGGTATGCCAGGCAGGTACAGGGACCTGATGTTAAGTGAGTCTTCCCTTTACCAACCCCCTTGTGCCAATTTTAACCAGAGCCTTCTCTTGTTTCCTGTAAAGGGTATGCCTGGCTTTAGCACCTCCAAGAAATTGGACAAGCTGGGCATGAGGGGTTCTAACACCTGTGAGCTCATCTTTGAAGACTGTAAGGTTCCTGGTAAGTGTCTCTGAGACTGAGGGAACCCCTGTCCTGACCCCCTCACAAGTTGATCTGGCTGTTCCCAAGCTGAGAAAGCCCATCCCTTGGCTAGAGAGACTCACCATTATTAGCTCCTCGATGACATGCAGTTAGACTGCGGGCCTGGGGCTGCTGGACAGCTGTCCCTCCTGGCCACATCCCCTGCAGCTGTATGCCTAACTGGCTGAGGTGAAAGGAGGTGCTTCCTCTGTGGATAACACATTCTGCCTGGGTTTTGTATCCAGTAGCTGAAAGAGAAAGATAAGACATCCCCTAGCCTGCTGTTGTCCTTCAGATGTCCTGTACATTTGCCTGGATAACCTGTGTGAGTTACTTATTAAAAATGCTAATAAAGAATTGCTGGGCATGGCGGCGCACTCCTGTAATCCCAGCAACTTAAAAGGTTGAGACAGGAGGATCACAAGTTCAAAGTCAGCCTCAGCAATGGCAAGGTGCTAAGCAATTTAGTGAGACCCTGTCTCTAATAAAATACAAAATTAGGCTGAGGATGTGGCTCAGTGGTTGAGCGCCCCTGAGTTCAATCCCTGGAACCCCGTCCCCACCAAAAAAAAAAAAAGCCAACTAAATAAACTGTTGGAAGCCAGATTCAATGAAGAGGAAGTGATTTGGTTTCAGTAGGAGTATTTTCTCCCCTGAGCCGCAGCTGAAAATGTGACACCATACATCACTCAGGGAGAACCAGCACCTCTATCCTGTGCTGATAGGACCAAAGGCATAGATCTGCTCAACAATTAGGCTGTCTCTGGGCCTCAGCCACAAACTATCCCTCTCCCCCAAAATCTGCTATCCCAGAAAAGTATGATGTGGTTAGAAGGAGCATCTAGGGAGAGGGATTTATGCTGATCCTTCTTTGTGCAGAAGAAAAAAATTCAGCCAGGTATCTATAATCTAGCAACTAGGGAACTGAAGCAGGAGGATCACAAGTTTGAGACCAGCCTTAGCAGCTTAGTGAGGCCCTAAGCAACTTACCAAGACCCTGATTCAAACTAAAAAATAAAAAGGGCTGAGGATGTGACTCAGTGGTAAAGCACCCCTGGGTTCAATCCCTGCTACAAAAAAAAAAAAAAAAATTCAGTCAGCATTAAAGGCAGCTCATTGGTGTCAAATTTCTATATTCAGTTTCCTGCCTGCTAGTCCCAAGGCTATCCATAGCTCTAGCTTACCTGAAGGACAAGGCTTAGCAGCTTCTTTCACTAGCACTGAATGGTCCATCTCCTGGACAAAGCAGCTTTCATGGACCCAATGCAAGGAGGTGACACTAGACTAGAGCAGACAAGCTGGGAGAGAGAAATTCTCTGGTTCCTATATAGGTACAGGTGTGGGAAGAACCAGGCAGAGGTAGGTGACTTGTAGACAGACCAATTAACTTCTTTCCCATCCAAGTGGGTCCAGAGACAGAAGGGAAACAGCCAATAACTCAAGGCTTTGTGTCCAGTGGATGGTGTGGGGATCCTAGAAGCTCAACTTCTGACTGGAAATGGTAAATCCAGTCCTTTTCTCTCACCTGGAACCTTAGTTGAACCTCAAGGAACATATTTTAGTGCCTTGTGTGAGAGCATGTTATCAACCTCGTACCCTTTATGAAAGTTAAAAAGCTGTAGACAGCCCTCTCCCTCTGACCAGCATTTATCCTGGCAGCTGCCAACATCCTGGGTCATGAGAGCAAGGGTGTCTACGTCCTGATGAGTGGGCTGGACCTGGAGCGCCTGGTGCTAGCCGGCGGGCCCCTGGGGTAAGTATGAGGCTCCTGGGGACCTGCGCTCTTTTAGCCTCTGGTGGCAGATGGAACAATCCTAAGCAGCAGCAGCCTTCCCGCAGGGGAGCCAAAGGGAGCTGATTCCTGGCTCCTGCAATCTCTCTTAGAGACAATAAGAACTTACTCCTCCTGCATTCAGTTTTTTCACACGGAAGGAAAATGTCATTAGGTGGATAGATGGAGGCCTGAGGAGCAACTCTGCTTAGGTGGTGTGGATATGAAATGAGAGGCCCTGGCTCTGGTGCCTGTCTACTGCAAAGATGCAGCCACTCCCACCTCTGGCTTTAGAGGAGGGGCACAAGGGCTGTATAGTTGGTGCTGTAACTGCCTCTGGATGACAAGAGCTTCTCAAGCTCTTATCTGGGGTTCCAGATCCTTATCTTGCCAAGCTTTCCTCAGGGCCTTTCCCTCTGTCATTCTGCCACTCCTCTTGGCAGGGTGGGACCATGAGACACCTCCACAGTGTCTTTCTCCTTTCTGGCAGGCTCATGCAGGCAGTCCTTGATCACACTATTCCCTACCTGCACGTAAGGGAAGCCTTTGGCCAGAAAATTGGCCACTTCCAGGTGAGTGGAATATTTTGCTGAAATGTACTTTTATTGGGTTCATTTTTTCTGTGATGAATGAGGAAGCAGACCATGCCCTGTGGGATGTTGACTATCATCTAGCAAAATGAGCTTGAATGCCTGGAATCCGGGCTGCTTTAGCATGCAGCCTGACTTCAGAAATTTTTAGTAAATTTAACACATTCTCCCATCCATTTCTTTTGGAGATGAATGAACTTGAGACTTCATGCAACTGGAGGGTGAAGCTTGCAGGTGGTGGGGAGCTTGGGAAAAGGGAGGGCATTTCTAGTCTGCCCTTCTGGTTTAAAGAAGCTGTGGGAGGTTGATGAAGGTTGTGGCTGGCAGTGTCTGGGGAACAGTGCCTTTCAGACATAGCAAGGGCCATTTCAGGGTACAATGTCCAAGAGCAGCTCTCTTACCTCCCATATCTACTTCCATTTCTGTCATTCTAGAGAAGTCCCATCTCTTCTCTGTGCCTTTGCTTCCTCACTCCTGCTGTCAGGTTGCCATTGAGGCTGATCTGCTTTTGATGACTAGAAAGAGTGTCCCAGCATGTTGACAATGACCTCTCTTTGTGCTCAGTTGATGCAGGGGAAGATGGCAGACATGTATACCCGCCTCATGGCATGTCGGCAGTATGTCTACAACGTTGCCAAGGCCTGTGATGAGGGCCATTGCACTGCCAAGGTGAGGGACAGCTCCTGAGCAGGGAGTAAGCAATGGGTCATCTGCTAGGACTGGCTCCTGCATGCCTAGCAGGGCCCTGCTGACAGAACCTCCTCCCACAGGACTGTGCTGGTGTGATTCTTTACGCAGCTGAGTGCGCCACACAGGTAGCCCTGGATGGCATTCAGTGTTTCGGTGAGTGGTCCCCACCACCCCCTCCTGCCTAGCCTGGTGCCAACTGGAAAGATTTCCTCTCCACTTCCCACTTCGTGCTTAAGCTAGCCACAATTGAGCTACCACCTCCTGGCTCTGCCCCCTTTAGGAGGAGTGGAAAAGTAGATGAGAAAGTGCTAGAGACCACAAGTTGCTACTGCCTTCAACAGTGCCCCCTCTCAACCACCCCCCTGCTCTCGTGGATACTAGAAAATGGGAAGAGAGATGCTTCAGGTGGAACATCCTCATTTCAGAATTGCCCCCAGATTGAGGGCATAGTCTTGAGCCTCATGGCTTCGGTTTGAATCCCAGCTCAGCCGTGCCAGTCTCTTCTTGCCCACTCCCATTCTTTTTGGGGGGTGGGGGGATACTAGGGGTTGAACCCAGAGCCTCTTAACCATTGAGCCACATCTCAATCCCTTTTTTATATTTTATTTAGAGACAGGGTCTTGCTGAATTGTTTAGGCCCTCACTAAGTTGCTGAGGCTGGCTTTGAACTCTAGATCCTCCTGCCTCAGCCTCCTGAGCCCCTGGGATTACAGGCATGGGCCTACTCTTGTCTCCATTTTGCCATGTCTGCCAGTGATTCTCCATTTTCTTTGCCTGGTGCCATCAGCACTCTGAGTGGCCTTCCAGCTCTATCCCTTTGCCCACCCTGCTACCACCAAGGTACTCTCCAAGCCCTCCCCTCTCACTACCTTTTGCTGCTTCTCTTTAATCAGACCCTCCCATAGCTTGTTTCCCTATACAGTCTGCCCTCAATATTCATGGATTCCAACCAAATTCAGATAGAAAATATTCAGAAAAAAAATATTGCTTCTATATTAAGCATAGACTTCTTGCTGTTATTCCATAAATAATGCAGTATAACAACCATCTAAATAGCATTTATATTGCATTAGATAGTGTAAGTAACATAGAGATGATTTAAAATATATGGGAGAATATGCTTAGGTTATATGAAAATACTTTGTCATTTTGTACAAAGGACTTGAGCATCAATAATTTTGGTAGCCATAAGAAGTCCAGAAACCAATCCCCACAGATACTGAGGGATGACTGCACTTGGCCTTCTGTTTGATTTCCTTGCTTTGCTACACTGCCCATTGCTTCTGTTGTCCTTTCTTCTCTTCTCAAACCCTGTTGCAGGTGGCAATGGCTATATAAATGACTTTCCCATGGGCCGCTTTCTTCGAGATGCTAAGCTGTATGAGATCGGGGCTGGGACCAGTGAGGTGAGACGGTTGGTCATTGGCAGAGCCTTCAACGCAGATTTCCACTAGCCCCAAGATCCACCACCCCTTTCTCCCAGCACCTAGAGGCCTTTCTTTGGAAGCAGAGACATGGTAGCCTCCTGGCTGCCCGAAGCAGGCCCTGCTGCTCCACTTCCCTTCTGGCTACAGCCCTCAAGCCTCTGCTGGATGGGAAGTCTTCTACACTGGCTGCCAAGCACTGTGGGCTAACCAGCCAGGAAAAGCCTAACATGGAATCAGCAGGAAGCATATTATCTTTTCTGAGAGCTTTAGGAGGGCTTTGACTCTGTGCCCTTGCTCTCTGCTCTTCAACTTCAAAGCCTAATGCTCCCACCTCCTGAAGTGGCCTGGAGATATGTAGGTACCCACCCCTTCTTTTAGGTGAGCTTGTGGCAGGGAGCCCTCTCTGTTCAAGTACAGCAGAATCATTGCCCCCTTCATTTACTCAAACTTGTTGGTCTCTTTTCTGGGGAAAAAGAAAAGCCAAAAATCCATCCTTGTTTGCTGGCTTCTTGAATCATCAGCTCCCAATCATTTGGGAACACCTGTGCTACAGAGTCTGCCTGGGGAACAAAAGAGAATTGTGGAGAATTAGCTCTTGCTGGCCCCTTTGGCAGCATCTCTGAGCTGTTCTGTGCTGCTCTGTCACAGAGACCAGTGAGATCTGGTAAAGTAACCTTCCTCATCTACTGGGCAGCAGGTGCAGGACTTGCCTATCCAAGCAGGCCTGGGTTGCCTGGCTCAACTCCAGCAGGGATTGCCTGTATACATTTCTTGAGACACCCTATGGCTAATTTGGTTACAACTGCACAGTGGCTGCTGCCATTTTGTATTAAACATATTGTGAAACAAACCCATCTGCTCCTAAATGGTGTTTTGGAGGAAAAACAATCTACTGCTCCTGACTTCTTTCTGGATACAGCACATGTCCTTGGAGAATGGATGACCCAAGTCCTATTCCTTCCCTCCAACCTGCTCCCAGTGATTTGGTTTTGTGTGTGTGCACGTGTATGTTTGTTTTGTTTGTGATGCTAGGGATTGAACCCATGCAAGGCAAGTGCTCTACCACTAAGCTACTACCCCAACACTTCAGTGACTTTTTTTTTTTTTAAAGAAAGGAGGGACCCCAGAGTAGTAGGATCTTGGAACTGTACCTTATAAATTTCCGAAAATCATCCTTGAGGTATTTTGTATTGGGGTTTGTTTGTTTGTTTTGTTTTTAAGATCAAGATAATTTAACTTTTTCAAGGTCAGAACTAGAGCTAAGATCCAGATTGCCAGCAGCAACAATGGGAGTGTTCTGAGAATTCCAGCCTGGGGCCCTACTACACTACTCAGCATCCTGGATGGAACCTGGTCTGAGAGGAATAGGTCTATGTTATTCTACCCCCTCTAAGTTCCCAAAAGAGGAACTGATTTTCTTGGCCCCCAGCCTGGCAGCACCTGTCCCTGGTATTTGGTTCTAACCTCCAGAAAAGTGCTGCTTCCAGCCTGGGGCTTGAGAGTGGGTCTAGCAACCCCAGTCTAATCTTATCTTGAGGGGAAAATCCAGGGCTTGTGGCTGTCCCTTAACTTCTGTGTCCTGTATTGATGAATTTAGCTAAAATGGTTAATGGTCATATAAAAACAGGTAGCTATAATAACAAGCCTGAAGACAATCAAAATAGCAGAATGTCATGTGTATTCCAGTCAGTGTTGGGTAGAGCCCTGCCAAATTGAGTGAGTCCCCCAAATTAGAACCTTAATCCCAAAGACACATGTCAATTGTATCTAGAGGTGGGACCCTCATTGGCATTAGAGGCCTTATAAGAGGGAGCCCCATACTAGCATACTTGATGTGTCATGTGAGAACCTCCACCATGTTTCAATGCAGCAAGAAGGCCCTCACCAGATGTCAGTGCCATGCTCTTGGACTTCTGGCCTCCAGAACAGTGAGCTAGATAAAGCTCTCTAAATTACCCCATCAGTGGCATTCAGTTATAGCATCAGAAAACCAAGACAGAAAGAATGCAATTGTTCTCCTGATCCTTTATGCGAAATGAGGAATGTTTAAAAAAAAAAAAAAAAGCATAGCCTGATACAAAAATAGATCAGCGAGCACTTTGGTTCTGGTGGGACTTTCAGGTTCTCTTCACAAACTGCGCAGCTCTATCTCATCGGTTAACAGGCACCTTTCCTTCCTGAGGCTGCCTCCAAGTGGATTCCAGTTTTAGGCCACCACACTATCAGCGCAGCACCTCCTCCACATTGCCTGTCCTGTGGGAGGTTAACAGAAGGTAACAGAACGTTTAAGTGTGATCTGGGCACACCCATATCAGAATTTGGCAACCTGTAAACTAACAGCCCCCCTGCATCTCTCCCCAGACCTAGTCACTTCTCTGGGAAGTAGCAAACTTTTATAGCAACTCATCAGGATTGGGGGTGCTTCCCTAGAGAACTGAGCCCTAATCCTTAGCCCCATAATCTAAGGATAATTACCCTTATGTATGTAACTCTCAATTTCGTTTCACATATCGGTTTCCATGGGTGCGGAAGACAAGGTTGCACAGCCACCCTAGCAAAAGGCCAGCAAGGTGAGTCGCCTGGGGGTGGTAGAACCGAGGGGGGCTGGGGAGCCGGCCACGCCCAGACGCTAGAGACGCTGAGTGGAGCCAGAGCTGGTGTAAAGCGGAGGTGTCCTTCGCCGACGCAGGGCTTGCCTGGTGGAAGCTGAAATACAGGATTCCAGTAGCAGTTGTTGAACTCAACTCAACCTAGGTCAGGTCCAGGATCTTCCCTGTGTGCCCCTCCGCCGAGGCACCGGGCGCCACCAAGCGCTGCACTGGCTCGTCGGACCAGCTCGGATGCAGTGTAGAGCTCGCCTGACCCCTGCCGGCTGCACGCGGAGTCGCAGTTGCCCAGGGCCCGCGGCACTCCGCCCTTCACTAGAGTGCCTTGGATGCACGGATTCCAGTCAGAAATTACACGACTCAGGGATCAAGGATATTTTATTTTATTAAACGAAGACATTAAAGGGGAGATAAGTGGCTGTCCTCTAGCACCATTTTATACAAGAAGGGCCACATGTAACAAAAAGTAGAAAGAACATAAACTCAGAACAAAGGCCAGGGTTGTATTAAATTTTCATATGTGCTTTCTGTGTATGGTTTCAAAATATTGTAGTCTGAAAAGGATTTTTTTTTAAAGATTGTCTCCTTTCTCTCCCTACACCCCCATTCCCATTCCTAGGACAAAATCACTTTGAGTCTTTAGGGGGTTTCTTTTGGTAATTCTAAGTGATAGGCTTATTGATTGATTGATTGAATTGGATATACTTGTAAGGATAGTTCTTTATTCTCACATTTGATTTTTGACACTCTCACTATATGCTCTTCTACCACCACCACCCCCACTTCCGGGGACCAGCCCTGTTGACTGGCAAGCATTTGGAAGCCCTGGGATCAGGTGGTACAGAGCCCTGTCCATATTCTTGGCTGGCCCCTGCTCCTGCCAAGACCCCAGAGCCACACTAGTGCAAGGTGAGGCCTTTCACCTTCCATGCTCCACCTGGTTATTCTATCAAGAAGCCATTTTGAAATTTGGCCTCTCCTGCATTCATCTCTCTCCTCTGCTGACAGAAGCTAGCCTGATATCTCTTAAATTTGCTTGGATCCACAACAATCTGCCAACTTGCCTGCCTACTTCTAGTCTACACCCTCAATCTCAATCTAGTTCTATACTGAGCCAGTGGGGTCTATCAAGCTCACCCATATATCCTTCAGCAGCTCCCAGTACCTTTAAGAGCTAAGATTTTAAGCTGGGCATAGTGACACATGCCTGTAATCCTAGGTACTCAAGAAATTGAGGGGGGAGAATTGCTTGAGACCAAGAGTTCAAGGCCAGCTTGGGCAATACAGCAAGACCCAGTCTCTTTAAAAAAAAAAAAAAAAAAAAACAAACCTAAGGTTTTGCAAGGCAAATATGGCTCTGACCTCCCCCTCCTGTTAACTTCCCTCCCTCCCTACTGAGTGCCTGTGTTCTTGTTGAAAGTTCTCCTTGCCATATTTTCTTAGCTTGTGCCCTAACTGATCCTTCTGCCAAGAAATCCTTTCTGCTCTTTCCTATGCTCTTGCTTCCTTGTCCCTAAAGCCTCAATCCAGGGCCTGCCTCCTCCAGGAAGACCTCTGTTCCCCAGCCTTTCCCCAGTCCTGTCCCCATCTCACCCATCCCGCTCAGCATATCTGCATCATTGAGCTTGCCATGCAGTTGTACTTATTTTATGTGTGTCTGTTTCCCCTGCATTAGAGTATGAACTTGGGGAACGGGTCTAATTTCACCATCCAGTACAGTTCTTGGCTTATAATAGATGCTCAAATGTTTATTGAAAGAGTAGATAGGTAGTCAAGTAACAATTAGCTCACATTTTTCTGGTACCATAGTTACTTGGGTGTGTGGTCACCTCTAGTGTATTTAGGATTTTTGAGGTCAAAGACCATCTCCCACTTCTCCGAATCCTTCAACAGCACCCAGTGCTTTCAGTGAGTACTCAGTTGCTATGTTCATGCTGAATGAGTGAAACAACAGGTGGGCCAGAGCCCTGGCCTAATCCCAGAGTTGGCACAAACAGCAGGGCCAGCCGGCTTTGCCTGGCGGTGCTCTCCTCAGGCCTTCCCACCCTGGAGTAGTTAGGGCCCAGCTGCAGAAGAGAGGCCCTCACCCCCTATATCCTCTGACCCACTCAGAAACTAAAGAAAGGAGCTGTTATAAGGTACTCTGACTCCTCCTCTGCCAGCTGGGGACAGAATGGGGGCTGAATGGAAAAGGGGGGCAGAGGAGGGCTATTGTATAAAATGTATAGTATATATGGAAGAGTATGTAACATGCATATAGGCAGGGTAAAATATAAAGTACCAGTACCCAGGCCAATAAAGAAAAAACATTCCAAGTATCTTTGAAGTCCATGTATCATGTGCCCTCCCTTTTTTTTTTTTTTTTTTTTGGCACTGGGGATAGAACCCAAGGCCTTATACATGCTAGGCAAGCACTCTACCACTGAGTTACACTCCCAGCTCCCAATTTTTTGTTGTTGTTTGCTTGAGACAGGGTCTCAATATGTTACTCAGGCTGGTCTTGAACTCCTGGACTCAAGTGATTTCTCTGCCTCAGCCTCCCAAGTAGCTGGGACAATAGGTGTGCCACTGCACCTGGCATATCCCCTTACTTTTCTTTATGGCTTCCTACCTTTCTATGTGTCCCTAAACAATATTGTTTAAGTTGCCTGTTTTTAAATATTCTACAGTTGGACTCATACTATATATATTCTTGCTTGCTATATGTGTCTAGCTTCTTTGGTTCATCGTTGTATAGTTTTTAAGAAATGCATTCCAGTTAACGAGATAACTACAATTTGTTCAATTTTTACTTGTATAGTTCTCTGTTATATGGAAATACTACAATTTAATTTTTATTCTACTACTGATGAACATTTGACTGGTTTCCAGTTTGGGGCTACCCTTGAATGCTCCTACAGGTACCCTCTGGTACATGTGTGCAAAAATTTCTCTAGATACATTCCAAGGATTGGGATTTCTCTGTTGTAGGGTATGTACCTGACTAACTTAAGGAGGAAATTCAAAACTGTTTCCCAGAGTAGTGACGTGTCTATTTTTTAAGAATGATGCCACCAGAAATGACTCTCAGGGCAAAGGTCCCCAAGGTCGACCCCTTGAGTTTATGAGTGTACATCACTGCTTCCCTGGTCAAGCCTTGCCACACCTTCAATAAACCTTTATAAACAAGTAACTAAGAGCCAGACACTGGGCTAAGGGCTGGGGGACAGTGAATAGTTAGCTCAGACCAACCCCAGAGAGGGACAGTTATGTTTCCACATATTCTGCCAGTCAGCCTGACACTTCAGCTTTGCCCTGGAAGACATGGGGGAGAGTAAAGACAGAATGGACATATGAGAATTTTCTTGAAAAGAAGAAATCTATTCTGGGCTAAGGGATATCTTAGCACAGGCCATAGTTAGCTCCCTCCTGGAAAGTGGACTATACATCAGTGGAAGAAGTATGGAGGACTGCCCTTTGCCAGCAGTAGAGGGAGGATTGGAAGAAAAAAGACAAGATGAAGTCTACACCGGTGCCAACAGTGATGGACACAACTGCAGATCCATCCAAGCATACTTTGTGTCTTGTGCCTGTCCAGGAGCAGCCACGGGTGAGCACACACATGGACATGCATTTACCACTGCACATACTGAGAGAAGCTGTCAGACACGCTGCAGGAGCAGAGGCAAGGAGCATGACGCTCAGCTGCCAGTGGGAGATAAGCCCAGGACAGGGGGGTACCTGCCTGACCTGCCTGGAGAGTCACCTAGTGCATCTGTCTGGGCTCCCAAGAGGCAATCTCTGTAAAGCTCTGGGTTTTCAGGATAACCTGGCTACCTCTCCTGGCCCCAAGTGCTTATTTTGTTTCCAAAAATGGGATAGCAAAATCTCATAATTCAATTTGGATCCTGGGCTGATGCTGCCAGGTTAGGCAGGATTGGGTATACAGTAGGTTCCTTCAGTTGTTGAATTAAAATTATTTAATGAAATATTCTATAAGATAATTAAGGTTTAAAAGAAGGGGAAGGAGGACTCTAAACCAAGAAGAGGGTAGTGAGGGAGACTTGATGTCTTTCAGAATCAGCCTGTAGCCTGCCCAGCCCCTCTTTTCTTTCCAGACTCCTCCCATCCCTGGCCCAGAGTAGAAGGGTAGGAGTCGGGACTGTTGCAAGGTTGCTAATTAAGACTGGACATACGGGGGGGCTGGGGTTGTGGCTCAGTGGTAGAGCATTTGTCTGGCATGCATGAGGCACTGGGTTCGATTCTCAGCACCACATAAAAATAAATAAAAAAATAAAGGTCCATCAACAACTTAAAATTAAAAAAAAAAAAAAGACTGGACGTAAGTCAATTTTATATGGCTGCATATATAGCTGCATCTGTTTAGGAAAGCTGGGATCTGCTCCCCAATTCTAAGACTATTTCCAAGACCTTAATCTGTCATATTTCAAGAATCCCATAGACAATCAGACCCAGCTTCTCTT